AGAGCATCTCTCCACATAAAAACCACATTCACAGTGACTTTGCATTCGTCATCCTCATCTCATGTTTCACAGGTTACACCACAAGGGACAGGGCTGAAATTAAATGTGCAGACAATCAATACAAAACCTCCCACTGCAAGGCAGCTTTAACAGCATAGTTAGATGGAATTTAGTGTAAGTGATTCGTTTCTAATCAGAGGCACAGAGCGCAGCACAGCTCTACTATGAAGCAACATCCCAGGATATTAAGTTAAAGATCTTTCATGTTGATATAAAAAACAAGCAGGGACATGTGAGTGTCTAGGTAACGAGAAATGTTGTGTGGACCTGTTGCTGCTGTTCACAGCAGCTYCAGGTGAGTGATGATGTGAATCCTCATGTTCTACTCTTTAATGCTGCTGTTTGCACATGTACAAATGAATCCTTGTTATTTAAAATGTTCATCCCAAARATAAAAATGTATGTATATTTMGTGCTTTGCCCCCAGGCTGTAAACATCCAGATCCTGGACATGGACCTTCCAACACGGACGACTATAGACTATCAGGAGCCGGCAATCGCCCCGACYGTGGCAGCAGCTCTGAGGGACGCTCTCAGGGATGAGGATGAGATCCAGGTAGATGCCTTAGGCTTTTACAGCAGTTTAGGACCAACCCCACCAGCCAGCGCTGTCTCCAGCCTCAAGAAACCAAAGTCTGGGTAAGTTCACTGTCACCAGTAAGCACTCCTTTAGCTGTCAATGCCACATGTTGTACTATTTAATAGTTTTTAATTCAGTTCAATTTCATGAAAGAGCTTTCTGTACTGTCCTGCAGTTTGACTGGATCTTGAAATATTTGTTTTTCGTCTGGAAACAAAAATCATAGAACTTGTTAATAACAAGTTCAAATGTTTAGATTCATGACCTTTGCAGTCATTCCCCAAATTCTGTTCAACTCTCTGGTTTTGCTCTCTGTCACTCAGTCGACCCAGAACCGGCAAGAAGTCAAGCACCCCGACGTCTCCTTTCAGCCCCTCCAGTCCAGGATCTCCTCTTTACCCACAATGCCGCGGCCTGGTGCCCAAGTGACAGCTTCTGCCACCACTATCTCTACCACTGACCTCTCTCGTGCACCTTTCCACTTTGGGACTCAACTTTGAGAGAATGGGTTTGGTTCTAGTTGTTTTTGTTGTCTGGACTACAGAATCTGGGATTCTGTAAACATTCAAGAAAACTTTCGTACTAATGCTGCTTTATAGGTTTTAACTGTAGCCACACCACTATTAACTGTTGTCATGAGCTTTTTCCTTTGGAGATTTGAAACCCACTCATCCTGAGTGTGAYCCAATACAACYCCAGGGCAGCAGCCACGCCTGAAGCCTCACATCACTCCACACTGCTATTAGCTGCTATGAATGTCTTACATTTCACACTCACTTACACAGTGTTCTTAATGTATGCGAAAAAAAATGAAGGGGTGTGTTTGTGTGTGCTGAACATTTGTATGTGTGTGTGTCTTGTTGTCCGTTAAGCTGTGCTGTCTTATTCTGATGATTTTAAGGTGCAGGTGTTTTGTGTCTTTAAAGGAATAGTTCCACATTTTAGTAAGTATACTTTCTTGCCAGATGAGATGACCATCACCAATCTCATGTCTATTGAAGCCTGAAGTAATCAGCTTGTCTTGGCTGGCTTCACTGGTTGCCTGGCAACCTCATGGTGACAAGGAGGCTCCAGGAAGTCTTAATGCTAAGCTAAGCTAATCACCTACTGGCTGTGGCTTCATACTCAGTACAGACATTAGAGTAACAAGTGAGGGTATTTCCTAAAACATTGGACTGTTCCTTGAGCTGTGTTTGATTGTATAGTCAGAAAGTCACCTGTCACCGGTTGCTGTAAAGAGAAAATGCTGTTCTTCCTGGGGCACATCAGATGGAGGCAGGAGCGGTGGGAGAGAGCTGCTCACATTTACATAAACATTCTGGGCTTAGTGACACTGCAGTAGGCCACCGGACATCCCAGCAGGAGATGAATGCTAATCACACCCTGAGTCACGGAACACTTACTTTTCCACTGATGCTGTTGCTCAGGTTCATCAGGGTTCCACGGTGCCTTAAACTGTGCCCTTCAGCTCTGCTCCTTCATTTTAGGACTGCTCACACATTCAAACACGCTCTTCTATGTCAGTGTTATTTTGTCTGCTCATTCATTTTGACATCAAGGAATTATTTACAGCACAGTCCTGACATTCCAGTCAGAATGAAAGAAATGGAGAGGCAGAGCATGTGGGCACAGCAATCAACTGTGCAGAAGAGGGATGTCATGTTCATGTCATCTACTTCTGTTAGTGAGAAAAACTGGTCTAACGGAACACTCAAAACCCTGAGTGTTGATCTTCACAGTATTGTGGTGGTGCCTCAAAACTCAGTCAAAACACTATGTACTTAAATAGATCTGAAACAGTGACTGAATATAAAGATGGTTGACTGGTCTCCGCCTCCTCAGCAAACATGGAAGAGGTGGGGTTTATGATCCATACTGCAGCCAGCCACCAGGGGGCGATCAAGATGTTTTGGCTTCAAATTTATCATGTTGACCATCATTATGAACAGTCTCTGATCTCAACATGAACCATTCCATTTGCCTGCAGGTGAACAATATGCAGTTTTGACCTCCACTGTTCAGTCTGCCTCTCTGCTGCTCTTTGTCATGCATACTCTTCACTGAAGGGTTGGGCAATGTCAACTTAATTGGCATATGACAATGTATGCAGTGAAACATTGTGATGGACAATGACATTGGCGGAGGTCATCTTATCAATTTATTTAACTCGCAGACACACATAGACATGTGCCGACTCATGTGACATCTCTGACCCACTACAGTGTAAATGTTGATTTGTTTGAAATGACACCACAATACCAACACTGATCACCACATAATGATCGATCCTTTTCTTAAATGAGTTCAATCTGTCTTCGTAGCTGCTCGCAATCATTTAGTAATTCAGCCCGTCACGACTCTGCTCACTCTCTTCCTCTCTCGCTCTGACAGGCAGAATTTGTAAATTTAGACAATATATGGAAACCAGAAGGAAATGGTGGGGTGTGCTTGTGTAAACTTCATTGTTTTGGCAGCGCGAATGTTAGAGACAGAGAGGAGCAGTAAAATACTGACAGCTGGTAAAAACTGTAAAAGCTCATTTTTTTTACAGTCCAAACATGTATGAAAGATGAAATGAACACTGTAAGCAGACTACCTGATCACTATAAACAAATTATTTTAACAGCATTTGTTTAGGAATTAGTATTTTTCTACGTTATAGTAGACGCTGAAATTATGGTCATTGCATGGCAGGCTGCACCCCTCTGTCAGTGTTCAACGGGGGGGCATCATGGCTGTCAGCCATTGTCAATGGATGATGGGATGGTCCATCAGCTGTTTGGCCCATGCCTACATACAGAAATATGTTGTGTAGTTAGATATGTAACAGTGAATACAGACTGGTTCAGAGGCATCCTCAGACATTTTTGCAGCTGTAAAAAAAATCTAGTCTAACTTATAATTTCTCATTTTTATATGCAGATGTAGATATCATTTTTTATTCTTTTTCTTGAAAATAAATTGTTTTATTTTTTGAGCTTTACAATTTCATTTCTTTTTTTGCGTGATACATGTATTATTTCCTCTTTTGTATACAGTAAGGTGCAGGCTTTTTGGTTGTGTGCTTGTGTGTACATGTTTAATTGTGTTGGTTGATGAGTCTGCCACAGATAAAAGCGTGAGTCGCATGTAGATTCATGTCACAGCTGAGTATTTACACATTGACTATACATCTATCTTCATAAACACAAATATAATTTTTAAAATAAGGCCTGATTATTGTAACCACCACTGCACTGTTATGTACCTTGCGCATGATTCAAGCACGCTTAAGAAATACATATGGTTGTGTATTCATCACTCATAGGAATCTGATTATCGGAATGTGAATATCTTAATTTAACTGAAAACCTTTGTGTGTGTATCCTGAAGCCACATCACCTGATCAAACTGCATATCTGAGATTTAAGTGACCAACTTTGATGCTGATGATGCTTTTGTAGCCAAATGACGGTTGCTGGTGCACTTCTGACTGTGTGTTGAAGTCTTTTACATGTTTAGTTTCTTTTAATTATTAAAGACAATTCAATAATAAGATGGCAGTATGTCCCGTCTCTGGAATATTTAAAAGAGGCACATGTGATCACATTTAACATAAACCTCCAGCCTCATGTCCTATGTAAGGAAAACAGTAATGCATCTACCTTTTGAACAAAAGRCTGTGTCACTGTCTGTCTGTGGAACGCATATCTCACAAACCATTCATCTAATCAGCTTTGCACTTGAATTGCTTGTTTTAATACTTACTGTATCAATGCTCCAGAGAAGTGCAGTGTCGAGTTTGGGGTGATTTGGACATGTCAACAGTCTATGGACTGGGTTGAACATGTCTTCAGCGTCCTTGGATACTCTGTACTCTGAATTATGGAGCTTTAATTTTTAAAAGATGTGAACTTGAGTCTGAACATTGTAATTTGCTTAGCAGACCTCTTTAACTAACCTCCGTTAGTTAAATAAATGATTCAAACTTATAAAAGCCGCACAAGTGAACAATAATAAAGCAAATTGAGTTTCATTTTATGTAAAACATTGACTATAAAATCTCTATTGCAGATAAACCAGGTAGGCTGAACACAAAATATTCTAACATCACTGCAGAACTTTTTCTAAAATGTTTTTCACCAATAAAGAGAGATATGATTTTATAACATATAACAGGTCCCCGGGGGGCTGCAGACTTTGCAGCCTCCTCACAGATGGCACAGGTGCAAAGAGGAGACATTATGTTGTGGGCCTCTCTGACACACCTGACTTGGTTTATATCTGCTGTTGTAGAGAGGGAGAGACACCCACGATGTTTCCTGCGTTCTCACTTCCCTCTGCAGACTCTGGCCTGCAACTTTACAGTTTCCATACCAGACAGAGATGCAGTGTGTCTCTAGTGTGTTTTCATAATGGCTGGTGTTGGCTGTCCTCACTCTGCACAGGAAGTGGAGACGTCAGATGGTGGAGGTTCTCATTAACTTTGATGAATTGATCATAATCCAGACTCATCTGATGATTTCTTCAAATCTCCTTAAATATATAGGGACAAGCGTAGAGACGCTCGGTTGCCAGATATGTCCGAATACGTGGAATTTGTATACTTAAGAATGCATGCGTGTGAGCTTGTATGTATATATTGATGCGTGTATAAACATCATAAACAGTTTAATGTTACAATGCACTTCATTATAATGAACCTGTCGTGTCTGGATACTAATATTTACTTGGTTTGATGTTTTTCACACGCATCTCTGTCGGGGGATGTGGTGTGCGGACCTGGCAGCCCGCCCCAGCCCAGCACAGTGATGAGCAGCGGTGACTGGGAGTTGTGGATCAGCTCACGTTCTMCTCCTCTCAGCGCTACACGACCTTTGTGTGTCTGTGGTGTCAAGTTGTGTTTGTGTCGCTTTGCTCTCACGAGTCGAAGCAGTTTTTCYTTTTTGTCCGGCGATGTGTTGAACCCATGMTAGTCCTCGCCACCAGCGTTAGCCAGGTAATGCTAGCAGGCTAGCAGCGGAGGTTACCGCTGTGTTTGCCGTTGCTAGGCCGGTCTTGRGGTCTCGTTGTGGGTTGTCGTCGGCATTAGCTCACGTCGGTTAGCTGACCCGCTGCTGTGCTAGCATCAGCTGGACAGGTTCTGTAAAACGCGTGTGTTCTCGACATGTTCCGGTGGTGAAGTCTCCATAAAGGCTGTCACTTGACAACCTGAGCTTCCAGCGTTGAGTCGTTGACATGGCAGCTCGTAGCTGCAGGTTCACCGGCTAACTTGAGCTAAACTAGGGGAGAGGCATTCCATCGTCAGAGCAGTGTGCTAATGCTGCTGTTCWCCACTGTCATGAACATAATTCATGTTTAATGACGAAGATCAATATCAGTTCAATGCTTTGCTCAGTATTATTGAGYTGTGTTTCTGGAGAACAGTTTGAAACCACCTGCAACACAGGTGTTAGCATCAGGAGAGATGTCAAGGCTAAAGTCTATTCATAGTTTAGTGTTGCTGAGTTTAAGCAGGTTTTTCAGGTTGTGTGTAAGAGTGTGTTTTATCAAGGTTGTCATGGAAGGTGTGTTCTAATCATTGCATGTGTCRTCTCCAGCAGACTCTGATGAGGGCATCTCTACAGGCCAACTGTTCCTGACACTGCACCTGGAAGACGTGTGAGCTTGGCTGCAGATCGTCACCATGTCCAAGAGCAAGAGTTCGGAGTCAGTGAAGGTGGTGGTCCGTTGTCGCCCWATGAATGAAAAAGAACAGGCTAGCAAATTTGAAAGGGTGGTCTCTGTGGATGTGAAACTGGGACAAATTYTTGTCAGGAACCCCAGAGAAGCTTCAGCCAGCGAAGCTCCCAAAGTCTTCACTTTTGATTCAGTSTACGACTGGAACTCTAAACAAATAGATCTGTACGATGAAACCTTCAGGCCACTGGTGGACTCAGTTCTTCTTGGCTTCAATGGGACCATCTTTGCCTATGGGCAGACGGGTACAGGGAAGACATACACAATGGAGGGGGTGAGACATGATCCAGAGAGGAGAGGGGTGATCCCTAACTCCTTTGAGCACATCTTCACACACATCTCACGATCCCAGAATCAGCAGTACCTGGTGAGAGCGTCATATCTTGAAATTTACCAAGAGGAGATCAAAGACTTGCTTTCCAAGAACCAATCCCATCGTCTTGAGCTGAGYGAGAGGCCTGACACGGGCGTTTATGTCAAAGACCTGTCGTCCTTTGTCACCAAGAGTGTGCGAGAGATCGAYCATGTCATGAACGTGGGCAACCAGAATCGTTCTGTGGGTGCTACGAACATGAACGAACACAGCTCCCGATCTCACGCCATTTTTGTCATCACCGTTGAGTGCAGTGAGTTGGGTGTAGACGGGGAGAACCATATCAGAGTTGGCAAACTGAACCTGGTAGATTTAGCCGGCAGTGAAAGGCAGACCAAGACTGGRGCCCAGGGGGAGAGGCTTAAAGAAGCCACAAAGATCAACCTGTCGCTTTCTGCTCTGGGGAARGTCATATCAGCTCTGGTGGATGGCAGGAGCAGCCACATCCCCTACCGAGATTCAAAACTCACCCGTCTGCTGCAGGACTCCCTGGGGGGCAACGCCTGCACCGTCATGGTTGCCAACATTGGGCCGGCATCCTACAACATGGAGGAGACCTTGACAACACTGCGCTACTCCAACAGGGCAAAGAATATCAAGAATAAACCACGCATCAATGAGGACCCCAAGGATGCCCTACTGAGGGAGTTTCAGGAGGAGATCGCCAAGCTGAAGGTGCAGCTGCAAAAGCGCTCTGGGGGAAAAAAGAAAAGGAAGCAGAGGAGGAGAACTGGGGAAGGGAGCGATGGTGAGGATCTGGAAGGAGAGACAGAGGATGATGATGAAGATGGAGAAGACAAAGGAGATTACTGGCGGGAGCAGCAGGAGAAGCTGGAGAGAGAGAGGAAMGCCATCATGGAGGATCACAGTCTGGTGGCTGAGGAGAAAGTTCGGCTGCTCAACAAGAAGGAGAAGAAAATGGAAGACTTGAGGAGAGAGAGGGAGGCTGGAGAGATGCTTGCAGCTAAAGTTAAGGTAGGCAGACTTTTKTAGAGAGGTGTGTTTCTGAACAGCTACAATGTTACTGTCGCCTTAACACAACACATTTGATTTTCATTACATGCAATTGAAGCAACAATTYAATTGTCTAAAATGTACACACAGGCCAGTGGATCTGTTTGTTGTTCTGCTAGTGAGAGGGAATTGCCTTTATATCCTGTGTTATCATGTATTTTTCTTCATTCAGGCAATGGAGAGTAAGCTTCTGGTTGGGGGGAAGAACATAGTGGATCACACCAACGAGCAACAGAAAATGCTGCAGCAGAGGAGGCATGAAATCGCTGAACAGGTAAATCAAACAACTGAAAAGTGGTGCATGACATTGGGTGAGAGGGGGAGTACACCCTGGAAAGACACAAACAACCACACGCTCACATTCACACCCACACAGAATTTAGGGATATGGCTCTACAGTAAAACAATGGTGCAACACTGGACTGTGTTGTGATGATCAGCCTGTGGAGGTGGTGAGGATAATGTTGATTTTTCAATGGAATAGATGGGTTAATTGCATTGCAACAATAGCTTAATGAAGCCTCATTAATGAAGCTAAGATGACTGTATCATGTGTGACCCGACAAGATGACCGTTGGTGACCTGCCTCATGGCAGATTTATCATGAACCTTTATCTAGCCACTGGGAATCACTGTTCTCATCTCCTCCACAGAGACCTTGAAGAGGCCCTTGGCCTGTGTCTGTGACTTAGTGCCTTATCTCCTTGGGGTTTACTTTATACTCCATTCTCACACACACACACTTACACACACACACACACACATATCTGCTCCTTACACACACGCATCACCTCTTTACTAAAGCTGCATAAAAGAGCACGCCCGAGAATGTTTCTTGGTCTGACCCATCTTTACATGTCCGCATGCTGTCAGATCTGTTTGACCTGATCTTTGCCAAAAAAGAAACGTGCACTTAAAAGACCATTTTGATCAGTTCTCTTTATTTCAGAAGTGTCGCCAAGTCAAATTTCTTCACACTAGAATCTCTCAACATAACAAGCTCCCTTTCAGTCAGAGACTTCTGTGTAGCCTGATCTCACACACAGAACTGTGGTCTAAAGTTTAAAATGTGTGTTTGCAGAAACACAGAGAGCGAGAGATGCAGCAACAGATGGAGAGTCGGGACGAGGAGACTCTGGGACTGAAGGAGACCTATACTTCCTTACAGCAGGAGGTCGACATCAAAACCAAGAAGCTGAAAAAGGTATCAGCTCCAACCTAGTGTATGTGAGAGAGAGAGAGAGAGAGAGAGAGAAAAGCAGTGTCAGTGTGTGCGCTACTTTTCCCTCAGGTTCTGAAACTATATAAAGAAGCTAGGCAATTACTTTATATAGTCAACCGCTCAAAGAGAGGACGTTGATCTGGGACAAACGTGATCACTAGAAATCTCCACAGTAGAATTTAGTGTGGAGGAGGCGGAGCGAGATCTGATGGAGTACCTTGCACTTCTCCATTCTCTTTCTATTGTCTTGTTCCAACAATGAATCATTGTAGGAAAAACCCATCAATGATCTTAACACCTTTAATTTATTAACTAGAGCAGTAGGAATCCATCTGATTGGCCAAATATATTGACATTCCGAGGGTGAATACATGGCACATTGACATCATTTATCACAGTTCAAGCAGTCTTTTGCAATACTTGTGTCGTGCATGTTGATTAAATTTTGGACATATCGTGCAGCCCTAGTCAGCATTACTGTTTAATTTTGCAAATCTGATGTGCTCTACCTCAGAGGATTGATGTGTCTGGTAATAAAAAGCCTTGCAGGTAAGTATGTCAGGTACCATTTTAAAGTGAGTAAAAATATACATGACTGCCTTTGTTGGTGAAATCAGATATTCCATTACTCTTCATGACAGTCAGCGTTTAAACCAAACTCTAAGACTGAATATACGTCTCATCATGCAAACCCTGGTTTCATTCCTCCTCTGTGCTTCAGCTGTTTGCCAAGCTGCAGGCAGTGAAGGCCGAAATCCAAGACATCCAGGAGGCACACATCAGAGAGCGCCAGGACCTGGAACAGACCCAGAATGAGCTCACCAGGGACCTCAAACTCAAGTAAGGAGCTTGCAAATCATACTGTTGGCCATCAGTAGTATATCTATGATGAACACAATCTGTCAGGCTCCAGGAGAGAACACACATGGCTACAAAGTTATGTGGTTGTAAACTTAGCAACTAGTTCTGTTCAACCAGATTTCCCTTTAAAATATGTCACTGTCATTATTAATGAGTATGAGGTTTAATTTCTAGATTCTTGGATGCATCGCAATGGAGACGTGGACGACTCTGCATCGATGCAGAGACAGAACATAACTGATTCATGTTTTCTGCTACGTTCATTGTTTTAGCGATGTCCCGCTGCTGAATAATTATAATTACAACTGCTTCAGGATCAGCACAGATGCTCATTAAAGGTCTGGTCGTCCTGTGTCAGAGTCTCTGTCAGAGATTGCTTCCTCCTCACCTCCTCTGACCTGTGCTCACTTTGCACTTTAACAATAAACACCATCACTGATCACAAGGTATTAGGACATGTTCAGTCCTGATGTTTACCGTGTGCACACATTCCCCTGCTACACACAACACGAGACGTAAAGTGACGCACGCAGTCAGGACATCAGTGTTAAAGCGACTGGAACGATCCAGAGTCATGATTCGATATCACTGATTAATATCTAAATACATGTGATTATCAGTTTGTGTAGACACACACACACACACTCCTGCAGATTAAGACAGCGCATGTTTTTACTTCATTGTTGCAGAAGAAACAACATCCTGTTTATCCAGGAACATAAATATGAATCCAGCAGGTTTTTATAAAGATCAGTTCTAAGTGTGATGATTAGAAAACAGCAGAGGCACAAAGTTATTGGATCGTGAGGCTAGTAAAGATGCACACCTTAAAATTTCTAGTCCATATCCTCAAAAAGGCAGAGCTCCTGGTTTCATAAATAAAAAAACACAGCAGGGTGGGAGTCACAAGACTTATTTATAATTAATCAGTCACATCTGAGTGTCTTGCTGTCATTCTCTGCTTGCCTCTTGTCAGTCTCTTACTGCCTCTGGCTAATAACTTGTCTGTTTGTCTTTCAGACATCTGATCATTGAGAACTTCATTCCCCTGGAGGAGAAGAACAAAATAGTCAGCAGAGCTTACATTGATGAAGAGGATGAGCACTGGAAAATGAAGCCCATCACACGTGTAGAGGAGTAAATTACACAATATTCTGAGCATGTTTTTATGTAAAGTGATTTTTGCAGAGTGAAATAAAGAACAGAGCGCAATATGAAATGATCTGTGTTTTTCGATCATTTCATTATATCATATTGCACAGCCTTAATGTCAAATGCCAAGCATTCCCATGATGCTTCACTAACTGCTTGTGTCTTCTTCAGTGAACATCGGATGATGAACAAGCCTCTGTCTGCAGTCGGCTACAGGAGGCCCCTCTGTCACCACGCTCGCGTGGCCATGATGATGAAGCCTGACACGAGATACAAAGTAAGCTGCACTTTCTCTTCACCTGTTTCACTGATGAACATTTTCAAGCTCACTCCGAGAGCATCTCTCCACATAAAAACCACATTCACAGTGACTTTGCATTCGTCATCCTCATCTCATGTTTCACAGGTTACACCACAAGGGACAGGGCT